ACCCGACCGGACCCGACCACGGACACCGACCAGGACCCCGACCAGGACACCGACCGCGACCGTCGGGGCAGGGGAGGGGCGCGGAGCGTGTCGTTCTTGATGAAGGACGCGCAGGGCGTTCCGTGCGCCGCACGTTTGTGCGCCGCACGTGGTGTGTGTGTGCACAATTTCATGCTCGCACTCGTACGCGGGCGGCCCTGGGCGTATTTTGAGGAGATCGCGGCACCCGGTAGCCGGGACGTGGGCACGAGCACAGCATCCACAAACCATGCAGTACTCACGCGAGGCGCGCTTTGGGAACGTAACGCAGCTCGCGACACCGACTCCCCGGCGGTTCAATTTCAGGCTCTCCCCGCCGCCAATCCCGTCCATGCTCTCGTCTGCCTCCGCGTCCTCTCCTTCCTCTCTGTCCACGACCTCATCTGCGCCGCGCATTGGCTCTCCTCGCTGTGCCTCAAGCGCAACTCCAAGGGGCAACCGAAGGGAACGCTGGATGGAACCTCGGAGACTACACCGGAGCCCGGAATCGAACAGGGTAGTCGGGGGTCAGAAAAAGTGGCGCGGGCGGGTCCGGCGGTGTCTGAGTGGCGTCGGTGCGTGCCGCACATCGAGGTCTACTCGTTGCGGCGACCGTTGCACTCGACGCTACCGCTGGACGTGACATTGCCCCTGCTCTATATCCCTCACCGCTGCGACCGCATCGCGCTCTCCTTCGAGTGGGCGGACCAGGGCTACGGGAACCGCAAAGGCGCGCTGGTCGCCTTCTACCTCAAGCGCCGGGACGCGGCGGCCGGCGCCGGCGAGGCGCCTGGCAGCGTCCGTGCGTCGCACGAGTGTGCGCGGCTGGTGGCGGAGGAGCGCGTTTGCGAGAGACTCGTGCCGGCGCCGCCGGGTCCGGTAGACGGTTGGAGCGCGTTGTTGGAACGTGTGTCGGAGGAGTGTGGGACGACGGATGACTTTTGGGGACGGCACGCTGTGTTGGATGTGAGCGTGCCGGCGGAGTTGTTGGGTGCTCGTCGTGTGCGGGAACAGGTGGAGTTGCCACCGGCGAAGGTGCAGGCGGCGGACTGTGTGTTGCTCGGGTTCGTCGTCGGTGGCGGTGGCGGCCATGGGCTCGTCTTCGACCAATTCCACGCCGTGACGGTTCGATTCCAGGTTCTGCCCGCCGGCTCTGGACCCGCGACCAGACGCGTACTCGGCGACGCACGCACACGCGAACGCCTCCTCGCCTTCCTCCCCCGCGCCGCCCAGGAACCTCTGCGCCGCACCCTCTCCGCACACGGCTGCCCCTCGCGCCATCTCCTCCTTGCGCGCGACGAAATCCTCCATGACGTTACCGTGCTCGACCGAGTCGACTCCGACGTTGTTACCGGGGGCCGGACGTCCTTCGACTTGGTT